ATTTGTCTGCTAACTGCTTTAACTTTCCCTGAAATAATGTCATAATGTCTCTTGCTACTTTGAGATGTCAGGAACCCTCTTTTTATTTATTTATTTTTCCTAAAGGACTTTGTTTATTAAGTCATTTATACGTAGATCATAAATACTTTTATGTATATGTGGGGTACAATGTGTTGATTTTTTTATACACTCTGATGTGCTTACATCAAACCATCAACATAGCTTTTGCCTCATTTACTTGATTATTGTGTTAAGACATTTATGTTCTACACTGGACAGATTTGACTTGTACCCTCGCAATATGCCCCATAGGTGTGGTCCCTCGTTTACCTTCCCTCTATCAAACCTCCCCCCCCCTTCCCACTCCATTTCTCTCCTTCATCTTGGGCTATAGTTGTGTTCTATCTTTCATAAGAAAATGTGAGTAAATATAAGTTGGTTTCATAGAAGTACTGAGTAGTATATGAGATAATTTTTCCTCCATTCTTGAGATACTTTACTCAGGGGAATATGTTCTGTGTCCCTTCATGTAAACATAAAAGAGGTGAAGTCTTCATCTTTTTAAGGCTGCATAGTATTCCATGGTATACATATACTATAATTTATTAATCCATTCATGGGTCGATGGGCACTTGGGCTTCTTCCATTACTTGAGCTGTAATGAATAATCTGGTTCAAATATTTTTTTTGCAAAGTGATTTTTGGTCTTTTGGATATTCTCCTAGTAGAGGAATTGCAGGATCCAAAGGCAGGTCAATTTTTAGATCCCTAAGTGTTCTCCAAACTTCTTTCCAAAAGGAACGTGTTAGTTTGCATTCCCACCAGCAGTGCAGAAGTGTTCCCTTTTCTCCACATCCATGCCAACAGCTGTAGTTTGGGGATTTTTTTATGTGGGCTACTCTTACTGGAGTTAGATGGTATCTCAAAATGGTTTTGATTTGTATTTTTCTGATGATTAAAGATGATGAGCATTTTTTCATGTGTCTGTAGACCATGTACCTGTCTTCTTCAGAGAAGCTTCTGTTCAGGTCTCTTGCCCATAGTGAAATGGGATCACTTGTTCTTTTCTTATTGATAAGTTTGAGTTCTCCATGGATTCTGGTTATCAGACCTTTGTCAGAAACGTAACCTGTAAGTATCCTCTCCCATTCTAAGGGCAGTCTACTTGCTTTACTTACTGTGTTCTTAGCAATGCAAAAGCTTTTTAGTTTGATCAGATCCCAGTAACGTATTTTTGGTATTGCTTCAGTTGCCCTGGGGGTTCTCCTCATAAAATTTTCTCCCAGGCCAATTTCTTCAAGTGTTTCCCCTGCACTCTTTCCAAGAATCTTTATGGTTTCATGTCTTAGGTTTACAGTAGTGCCAAAAAAAATGAAATATCTGGGATTGTATCTAACAAAGGATGTGAAAGATCTCTATAAAGAGAACTATGAAACTCTGAGAAAAGAAATAGCTAAAGATGTCAACAAATGCAAAAAGATACCATGCTCATGGCAGGGAAGAATCAACATTGTTAAAATGTCCATACTACCCAATGCAATCTACAGATTTAATGCAATCCCCATTAAAGCACCTCTGTCATACATTAAAGATCTGGAAAAACTAGTTCTTCATTTTATAAGGAAATAGAAAAAACCCTGAATAGACAAGACACTACTTAGAAATAAAAACAAATCAGGAATCATGCTACCAGACTTCAGACTATACTATAAATCTATAGTGATCAAAACAGCATGATATTGGCACAAAAATAGAGAGGTAGATGTATGGAACAGAATTGAGAACCAAGAGATAAATCCAGACACTTATTGACATTTGATCTTCAATAAGCCTATCAAAAACTTAAATTGGGGGAATGACTCCTTATTTAAATGGTGCTGGGTGAATTGGCTGGTGACTTGTAGAAGACTGAAACTGGACCCACACCTTTCGCCTCTAACAAAAATTGACTCTCACAGGACCCTTCTTTTTAGAAACTAATCAAGTGTGGTTAAAAAAAATCACACAAAAGAATATAGTAATTATAGATACTGTATCATTGGTCTAAAGTAGATTTGACTAAAATAAAATGATAGCCAGGCAATGTAATAAGTTGTTGAGATATTGAGTGAAATAGAGACTGTAGACTAGTGAGGGAGAGAGATAATTATATAAGCCATTACATAAAATGTGGCAGGCGCTATGATAATGAAGATATGGTACTACATGAGTTTATGATAAGCAGGGGCACAGAAGAGGCTCGGGGGGATCAGAAAGAGATCAGGCAGAAGACATAGATTAAATGGTGACATATTTTTTCCAAAGCAATCTAAAGAAAATCTTCATACGTCTTTGGAAGACTTGTTGGTGGTTGGCAAGAGGCACATGATACTTCACAATCTTGAATTAGAAAAGCAGTAAGAATTTCCCAATAAATAATTAGATGGACTGGATAATTTTCCTTCAGCACCAAACACAGAATTACATTTAAAAGGCAAATGCATATATTTCACATTATCCTTCCATATGCAGATGACTTCAAAGTAGAGATGGAGGGGATAAGACAAATGGGAGAATTAAAACTGAAATTTATCATTCTCGTCTGGAAAGATGAAGTTATCTTTTCTAGTGAAAAGCAAGATTACACTTACCAGGGATACACTCATGTGAAGGCTTACATTTAGACGAGGAAGTGGAAGCAGCAGGACCTGGTCTGGCCTGCAAAAAATACCACAGGGCTGAGCAAAGTTTTTGGGGATGCTATAGTGAGTGTGTCTATGAGCAAAACCCATGCGGTCTGATATGCCATTAATAGAAGCATATAATTTCCAGAGCAGATGGACATTTGGCACACTGATGGGCTCAAGTCTGAAAAACGATCTTGTCTTCTGTGAGTCACTTTTGTACAGGGATGGTGACAAACCCAGGCGCGTTTACGGGAGAGGGAGAAGACAGGAATGATTAATGAAAAGAATTTGATGCCACTATCCTTTGTTTAGAGTAGCAGCTTTGTACCAGGCACTGAGGATCTAAAAGTGAAAACAGTTCCCTCCTGTGAAGCCAAATCATCATCCACTGGGGAAGACAGACACAGGAGCAAATTCCATACAGTGGCTGATAAATTCCATACAATGGCTGCTTTAAAAGTACCATGGGAACTCAGAGAAAAGAAAATTAATTCTGCCTAGGGGCATGAAGAACTTACCAAGAAAAGATAACACCTGAATTTGGCCCTTGAAGAGTGGAGCTCAAATTTCCTCAGTGGTGAGGGAGCAGGGGATGAAGAGTGCAGACTGGGGCTGGCCAAGGAAAATGACCATGAGTCCAGCGGTTTTATCAGGGGCTGAGGGGAAGTGAGGCTAGAGAACCAGGCAGGGGTCAGCAAGTACGGACTTAAATGCTTTGAAAATGGGGAGCTATCCAATGCTTGTCATATAGAAGAGCAAATGTGCAACCCAGAGAAGGAACAGTTAAGGCTGCACATGTGCTTCACGTCATCAAACAGCTGCACTGCTGTTCAGTGAAAAACAGAGGCACGTATCCACTGAGGAAGGGCCCAAAGAGCAGGTACGGCATAATGGAAGTGAGAGGTCGATTGCAGCTTTTCTATCAATGGGAATATCAGCAACGGGAAGGAACGCATCAAGATTCAAGACCCCTTTGATACTGAAGGGATCATGCAGAGAACAGATAACGACTCTACCATAGTCAGCAAAGGATCCTCACTTGTTTTAATCATAGGAACACTGTGGACTTTTCAATTTGTCGCTTTACCTCGGTTCCTAGGAAGTTCAGAGACAAAATTTTAACCCACCTCTGGCTAGTGTACAAAACCTATAATATGCCCATTCATATTACAAGTTACCTTACTTGTATTTTCTACAGAGCCGATACTCTTCTATTTTTTTACTTTTATGTGACACTATACATTTTGATAAGCCATATAAATTCTTTTTATTAATGGAGTGGTATTTAAATAAATAGGTAAGCTAGAAATATAATTCTAGAATCACCTTTTTTTAGTTTATTCAGAGGTATGAAAACAATCATAAACTTCCCCCTTTTTTCACCATAGACTTAATGTCAAAATATTGAAAAGAAGCAAACTGCAAGTCAAAACCATAGCGAGATGCCATTTCCTACTCAGTACAATAGCTATAATCAAAAAGGCAGGCAATAACAAGTGTTAGCTAGGATATGGAGAAACTGGAGCCCTAATACATTGTTGATGGGAATGTAAAATCATTGAAGAAACTTTGCTAAAACAGTTCAGCAGTTCCTGGAATAATTAAACATACAATCGCCATAAAACCTAGCAGCACTCCAGAGTATATACCGAGGGTGCCTAAAAAAATGCATATACATTTTAAGAAAAGATAAAACTGTACTAAAATTGTAATAGTCAATATGAGTCGATACCAATAACATTTGTTATCTTGTATCTTATATTTCTTATAATTGCAGAACTCAAATGTGACTTGAGCATTACAATTTTAATACAGTGTTTTCCTTTCTTAAAATGTGTATACAAGTTTTTGGCACCCTCTGCATATGCAAGAGAACTAAAATCACGTATTCATACAAAAACTTGTACATAAATGTTCATAGCAACATTATTAATAAGAACCTAAAATGGCAACTACCCAAGTATCCATTAACTGATGGCCAGATAAGCAAAATGTGGTATATCTACACAACAGGATATTATTTAGTTAGAAAAAGGAGTGAACATGCGAAAATACGGAAGAACCTAGAAAACAGTATGCTAAGTGAATGAAGTTGGACAAAAAACCCACCTGTGTGATTGCCTTTCATGATGAATCTAGAATAAGCACATCTATCCTGAAAGAAAGTAGGTTAGTAATCGCAGGGGCTGGGGGCGGGAAGAATGAGGAGTAATTGCTAATGGGTCAACAGCTTCTGGTGACAAAATGTTCTAACCTTAGGTAGTTGTTAGCTGCACAACTCTGTGAAATACTTAAAAGCCACAGAATTTTATGTTTTTTTCAAGGTGTACTTTGGTGCTCACTTCAGCAGCACATATACTAAAATCGGAATGACACAGAGAATATGAGCACAGCCCCTGCACAAGGATGACATGCAAATTTGTTAAATGTTCTGTATTTTTACATTCAAGTTGGGGGTGGGGGAAGGGGAGAGAGGAGGAAGAGAGAGGGAGATGGGTAGGCTCTTACCTCCTGTGCACAATTTCAGGGTATATGGCACACCCCCAGATGAAGGGCTCAAATACAACTTGAACTTTGCTTTAGAAAAAACAAACAACGTAACCTAATCATTTGTGCCCTCATATTAATCCAAAATAAAAAATTAAATAAACCTCTTGAAAGGACAAAACAAAGGTGAATTTTACGGTTTATGAATTATATTCCAGTTAAAAAAATACTGAAGGAATGAATTGGGGTAAGTGGAATAGATCAATATCATTTTCTGTCCTTTGCTTGATTACCACTTTAACCAACTCTTCTTAGTTCACTGTCTCCATTATAACTGACTTTAAAAAATTCATTTAAAATATGCATGCCTTAGCCTTAAAATTAACACAATTTGTTGTTTGTTTGTTTGTTCAGAGACAGAGTTTCACTCTGTCACCCTGGGTAGAGTGCCTTGATGTAGTAGCTCACAGCAACCTCAAACTCTTATGCTTGAGCAATCCTCTTGCCTCAGCCACTTATGGTTGGGACCACAATTTGTTGTTTGGAAGGAATGGCTGCTAAATGACCATTGAATAGCCAACTCTTTTTTTAATCAGTCATGAACTGCCCCAAACAATTAAATATTAAAACTATGTACAAGTAATAAATTAGATCCAGAAGATATCTTTAAAATTCAACATCCATCTTTATGTAGACTATTTAATTTACATATTACTAAAAGGTTTATGTAAATAATATGTAAAATGTTTGTTTGCATACGTATTTTAATAAAAACATCTAAAATTGTTGTCCACACCCTCTAGCTAGACTGTAACATGGCACCCTACACGCCTGGAGGAGGCATTTCTTCCCAGTATATTCCACAGTATAAAGGAAGAGGCTGCTTGGAACTTTCCAAGCTACAGTGAATTCTACATTAAAATTACTTCATTCTAAAAAGATTTGATGTTCTTCTCTGTACTGTGATTCTTTCCTACACAGAATTAACATTCCTAGCATTCTTAACATGCTTAAGATAACAGAGTTTAGATATCTTAGATTGCGATTTTTTTTTTTAATCTTGTAAAATCAGTTGGGATATATATTTAGTTCCGTCTCACTCACATTTCCCAGTTACCTGGACGAATTGATGTAAGCAACAACAATGGGGCTTTGAAGCTCTCAGGTACAACAGTGGAAATGATCACATTTTTTAGTCAATGAATGAATTGTTCTTTCATAATGATTTGTTTATGGAAATAAATAGAGTAGTACCTTGATTAGTGAATTCCCTGGGAAAGAAAGGCCTTCTAAGAAGTCAGTCACATTAAAAACCTAAACAAACAAAATGCTCAGAAAGGTTGGGAAGCTGAGCTGCCTGAGCAACCTCTATACACACAGCTTCTGCCAAAGGCAGCCCCACTGAAAGCAGAGAGGCCCGCCCTGAGGGAAACCGGGAGTCTTTGAAGCCCCTCCCCGCCCCACCCATCAAGCTGCCACCTGCTGCCCTGTCTCCCTCCCTGGGGCTGCTGTCAGAAGCCCTATCTAAGCAAGAGAGAATGTGCATCCTTCCCCTTTCCTACTTAATGATTCGTTGACTGATACTAGTATTACTAAGTCTTATTAAAGGGATAACTCTAAATTAATCTACAGTTGTGAAATTAACACATACACCCCCTTTTAAATAAATGCTCAAAGAAATTTAGACCTAGACAAGGACTCAGTTGCCTTGGAGAGGGCCACACCAGGCTGGAATTTGGTTGTTTCTGATTTGGGCCTTTTGGGACAAAGGGCAGGCAGGACAGGCCTCCACCCTGTTAAGGAGCCTAGAAAAGTAGTTCTTATAGCTTCACTACAGGAGTGAAGTGTCCACAACATCTTTTAAAAGGGGCTTTTCAGGTGGGAGAAATTGTTAAGGCTTTGTCTTGCAGTTGTGTTTTATCGCAATGTTTCAAAGATAACTCAAGAATGACAACCAGCATCACAACCACCAGAATGGAAGTTTCTGAATGCCAGCCAAATTTAACAAGCTTCCTGGGTGATTCTTATGCACATTCAATTTTAAGAATTCCTAGTCACCCTTTGTCACCTCTGGTAAATATTGTATATTTTAAGGATCATCTGGTTTTAGTTTAGTTAGCATGGAATGAAGCTTCATTAAAACTTATCTTATCTGAGATTTTCAAACACACCCTACAACTCCTACATTAATTCAACTTGGCTGTAATGCAGCTGTACATTACTAAAACACATCTTTATTTAGAGAGCCATACTGCATTCAAGTGACCTCTGGTTTATTCCTAAACTATCCCTACTTGGGAAAAAAGCTACAAAGAAGAAGAATGATGTAAAAATTTTTTAAAAGATAAATGATAGTGGTATTAGAAGATAACTTTGCATATGCTTATTACTGATTTCTAGAAATTTTGCTATATCTTTATGCAATTTCTTCAAATCCACATGCTTAAAAATAATGCATATCTGGGAAGAATTAAGAACATTTGAAATTCTGCTTCTTAAATACTACCTTAAAAGACATGTTTGTTTGTTTTTTTCCTGATAGATATTTATGTATTTGGGAAGAAAATTCACACTTTGAGCCTTAATAGTATAAACACACACACAAAAGTCTTGCAGTTGATTTTTAGTGTAGATTAAAAATTACATTTTAGAGAACATTTTTAAGGATGCATTTGTAATACTGGAAAAATTTCTTCTCCAAAAATGTCAACATAACATTTTAACCTAGGGCAAGCCTATACCTTATCTAAATTTGTATAAAATGTAATCCAGGCAGTCAAGATTTATTTGGATTCTTTTGTTTATTTGGATATATTCTTTTTTGAAAAAATATTTAAATTAATATCATGAGGAGAGTTCCTCTACAAATATGATAATAAGAATTAAAATCTATAATCAGAGCTAGAAATACATATTGGCTTAATCAAAGATGAGGTGAACTAAGTTGATTTCTCATATCCAGCCCCTCACCAAAGAGCAAAAATACAACCTATTGACAGATGGGTTTCTGGTGAAAACCATACAGTTCTATCTCCTATAGTAAAACCAGTGGGATTTTATATGTTCACATAAAACATGAATCTAGAGAGATATGTATTAAAAAAAAACATACAGGGTAACACAAAGGGTAGGAAAGAAGGTGATATATAGCAAAGAAGAGGAAGAAAGATGACATCTGGAATAGAAAGAAATCTAGTAGAGTTAGAGCATTAGGACTGATCATAGACTTCTTAACAGAAAATAGAGTAAGGGATGGAGAGATCAATGGTAAATTGATCATTGACAGAAATATACCTTTAGAGAATGAAATGAGGAAGAGAAGAAATTTTAAAAGTCAGTTATTTTTTTAATGGAATTGTAAAGAATGAGAACATGGTAAAAGAAAATGCTTCAAGCTCTTTCCAACAGCTAAACAGACATAGAATAACAGTACTCCAAAGATGTCTCCCTTCTAATCCTTGGAACTTACCTTACATGGTAAAAGGGACTTTGCAGATATGATTTATGTCAAAAACCTTGAGGCAATAACCTAATCATGAGTTATTAAGAAGGGAACTGTTTCCAAATGGAGAGAATCAGCTGGTGAAAGAAAGGACTCAACCCAGTGTCACTGGTTTTGAAGATAGGAAATGGGTGCCATGTGCTATGGGATCAGCCTCTTTCTAGAACAGAAACTAGACGAGGTCAGAAAAGAGATTCCTCCAAAACCCCCATAAAGAAATAAGGCAATGTAACACCTTAATTTTAGCCCAACAAGACCAGTGCCAGAATTCCGATGTACAGAACAGTAAGATGATGAATTTGTGACGTTCAAGTTTGTGGTGAATTCTTACATCAGCAATAGAAAACTAATATACTAGACCTGGGGCTGAGCAAGGAACTAAAATAGCTTCTCTTATTCTATATGAGAAAATAATAAAATTGCTATTCAAACGTGTTGATACAATCCCTCTACCCTGCTCTACTTTGTATATCCAAATATATTCAGTCTATTTTAGCAGTATCGAAGGAACGTTTAATAACAACTATCAAGTAAGCTCCCTTTGGCAACATAGTCAACAAGGACAAACAAGGGACTCCTGCAATTGTCCAATTAGTTATCAATCTGAAAAGCATATTTCCCAAAAGAAATTATGATTCTCTTCCTGGTCATAATTTAGAGTGACCTCTAAATGGATTTTTGCCATGTTACTCAAGTATATAACCCACTAGTTAGGTCTGAATTGTTAGCAGCAATAAAGAAATTAACATGAAATACAGTAGTTCCTTCTTATCCTTGGGGGATATATTCCAAAACTTTCAGTAGATGCCTGAAATGGTATAGTGTGGAATGTTACGTATGCTAGAATTTCTCTGATACAATCAATCTATGATAAAGTTTAACTTACAAATTAGAAACAGTAAGAGATTAACAATAACTAATAATAGAACAATTATAACAATATACTATAATTAAAATTATATGAACATGTACACTCCTTCTCAAAATGATTTATTATACTGTATAGTACTCATCTATTTTAGGCTGTGGTTGACTGCCAGTAATTGAAACCTCAGAAATTGAGGGGAGACTGCTGTAGGGCCATGCATCACTTAACAGCAGGGATATGTTTGGAGAAGAGCATCCATAGGATATTTTTGTCACCATGCAAACATTACAGAGTATACTTACACAAACCTAGATATTACAGTACAGCCCCCTACACCCCTAGACTCAATGGGACCGCCTATTGTTCTAGGCTACAAACCTGAACAGCACGTTACTGTACCAGATACTATAGGCAATTGTAACACCATTGTAAGTATTTATGTAATATATCTAAATATAGAAAAGGTATAGCAAAAGTGTAGTGTTATAACCTTATGGGACCACCACTGTATATGTTGTCATTGACCTGAATGTCATTATGCCGGGCATGACTGTGATATGTCTCAATGCATACATTAATGCTTA